AGAAAGAATAATATTTATCTGTAATATATCTGATGAGTAATATGGGGAAACTGTGATAATGACAATATGTGGGTTATTGTAGTTTATTAGGTGACGTTCCGTCCACCAGGGACTTCAAGGTTCCTCGTTATCAGTCCCCAGTGCACATCCCTCTAGACGAAAAGTCTAGAAATAAAATGCCATAATCAAGTTTCATTATCACCACATTATACATACATAAAACTTCATTAATGCGTTAACACTAACAGATGGAAAAATTAGGTTATTGTGCTTGCATGTGCATTACGTTTGTTTATTTTGTTGTTCACAGGGAGCACTAAACTCATAGAATTGTATATTACTACATTAAATTTGGGGAAAACTCTAAATCTAGGGGAATGGGAAGCAATCAAGTTCGATCCCAGGAAGGGACGGACAGATCCAATTCCCTACCTTAAGAGCTCCTCATCGGTATTTAGGGATCTCCCTTGAGGGGCTGAATATAGCAGTCTATCTCAGCCCTTTGCCGTTTCATTACCCGAACCCCACATGTTCCAAGCACCAATGTCCTTTTGCCGGACGTAGATATTAGTGGGAGGGAGGTTTGGGAGGAATAGAATCAGAAAATAATAAGGTAGAATGATCAGAAGAACGAGTAGATATTAAGAAGGAACTTTGTAGTGGTCGAAAAGATTATCTTTCTTTCGCCTAGGAACGTGTGGGTGGGGCTAAAAAGATGGCGACGCCCTTAACCTTTACTACCACCACTAAAGGGGAGACAGACAGACTTGAGCAGTGGTGGTTAGACACAAGTTAATGAATGAAAGGGGTCAAAGTCAGAGGCGGCAGACCAGAAATGGGAACACGTTGAAGAGGTTCGAGTTATTGGAGACAAGCACTTGCTAACGGTTGCGTACAGTGTTGTGTTGTCCCAGATGTGTTACATCTATTATTTTTAATTTAATCAGGGGGAAGCATTAAACCCGTAGAGAATCTAGATGCCATCAGGTTCGAGCTAAAGAAAGGGAGGATAAGTCCAGGTCCTAGGATTAAGAGCCTCTGTTATAATCTAGCCATATAACACACTCGCTATCAAACAAGTTTCGTGTTCTTTTAACAAGATTGGGCTCTAAAGAGTGAATGGGATTAACCTCAGAACAACATAACGAGATTATTATACTTCACATCGTTGCAGATGAGGCATAGGTAAAGTGAAATACTGATTGCCCAGAGAGGACGTGACATTACTGAGGAGTTACTTAACACTGCAAAACTATAAACTAGTGGTTCACTTATACGTCTGATCGGAACTCGCGAGAATAAAAATAAAGCTTTACTACATTGTACGGATGGAGCTGTCGATAGAGCCACAATCTTCAACGGGTCAGTCAAAACAGGGTTAACTTCCAGAGGTGTGAAAGAAAATGTAGTCCCAGAATTTAAGAAAGGGATAGACCAGTAGCATTAAACTACAAACCGGTATCAATGTCATGTACGGTTATGGAGATGATAGCACCTAGAAAAGAGTGAGCTAACAAATAACCAGCATGACTGGAGATGACAAATCTTTGTAGATGAATGGTTCAGAGAACCGACATGTTGATAAATTTAGACTCAAGATTGATGGACTGAACACATCGACTCAAGGTTGAGGGACTGATTACCTCATTCTCCTCCTGTTCTTCAAGTTTCTCCTATGTATGGACTGATGAAGCCACTGTGTGGCGAAACGTTTCCTTAATAAAGATACCCAAGAGTTGCACATGTGTCTAAATTTATCAATGACAAATCTTGTCTATACTGTGGTACAGTACTACTGTCAGTAGTACTGTACTGTAGTATTGACAATCTGTCTTGCAAACCTACCCGAGTTCTACGACAAGGTAGCAGAAGTGAGGTAGGAGAGAGTGATGGGTGGACTGCAAGAAGGCTTTTGACAATACCGCATAAGAGAAGGTCAAACACTAGAAGTATGTATTTATTCAGTCTAAAAGGGGTCGGGCATGGAATGATCTTGGTGGGGAACCAGAATGACCTTTGTGAAGTGGAAGCAGATTTCATACATAATTTTAAGATCAGGTACGATTGAGCCCAAAAGGCTGCGAAAAGAATTTAGAGAATGGCAAATTAAAAGGCGAGACAAGGATCTGAGAATCTACCCCTGCAACCATAAATAGGCAAGTACAAATGAGTACAAAAAAAATGAATGGCTGGGCTAGGGGTAATCAACTTTGATTCGAGGAGCAATTAATTCCTTGAATCAAGAATTCTTCTCTACTAGGGACATCAAACAACATTTTATCCTTTGCAGATACCTGAATCTAAAAGAAAACATCCACAGAAGATACAACGAGCCTCTATGATGATATAAACCAAATCTTCCAGTGGGCCACTGACAACACTATGATGTTCACTGAAAACATACTTCACTTATTACGTCACGGAAGAAATTTAGTTCGGAGTGCAAGACAAACTCAAACTGTGCAATAGAACGTAAATTAAATATGAGAGACCTGGGAGTGATAATGTCAGATCTCACGTTCAAGGAGAACAACGTTATTGTCGCAACTCCAAGCAAAATGATAGGATGCATAACAGGAACCTTCAAAACAAGATATGCCAAGCCACTGATGACACTCTTAAGGTCATTCGTACTATCGAAGCTGGAGTACTGCCGTGTACTAATAGACCCCTTCAACGCAGGCGAAATTACCGAGATGGAAAATGTAGAGAACTTTCACAGCTCGTATAAACTCAGTCATGCACCAAAATTACAGGGAACACTTTAAGTCCCTAGAATTGTACTGCTGAGAAAGTAGGAGAGAAAGACACTGAAGATACTGGAGGAATTGGTCCCAAGCCTACACATCGAAATTACTACTTATGAACACAAGCTTGGCAGAATACCTCCAATAAAAAAGCAGGGGAGAGAGGAAAACACAGAACTCGGTGAGTTAAGGGCCCACGACTCTACATCCTTCCTTCATGTATAGAGAATTACCAACCCCAAGCTGTCCTCAAGAAGGAACTCTTGAGATTTATCAAAACGGTTCCTGGTCAACCGGGTAGGGGTGCATACGTTAGACTGCGGGCGGCAGGTATTAACAGCTTGATTGATCAGGCCAACAACCAGGAGGCCTGGTCTGGGACAGGGCCGTGAGGACAGCGAGTTCTGGATACGACTCCAGGTAAGCCATTAAAGCACCCCTTACCCTTGAAGAATTAGGCCCTGTAGTGAGTGATATACACAAAGAATTTTTGACAGCAGCAGCAAACGACCCAAGGAATTTTTCTCTAAAGCCAGTTTGACCAAAGATACGAGTGATTAAAGTGGGTCAACGCTGAGCTGTTGTGCAGCTGGTAAACCCGTAGGAGTCCTATAGCGAATGAGGGCTGGGAAGCAATCAGGATTGATCCGAAGGGGGTTAAGTATTAACAAGTCTTTTAATTAAATGGCCTGTACCTGTTTTTAACTAATAACTTAAGTGTTTGGTTAGAGTAGCTCTAGTCTTAAGACGGAACTCCATACTTTGCAGTTTCTTAGCATGTTTGTAGTGTAGGCCTACGTGACCTTGACAAAACTGACAAACTTTACCATTAGTACTTGGTCACTAAGAGGGTGTCTTTGCTTATCCACGATACGTTTATGAGCTGTCAGAAATATATTAATATTCATTCCCATGATATTCACGAAAAACGCTAAACCTGTATAAATTTTCAACGTAATTACGTCAAGTGTAGCAACGGGGTTTAGAGTTCACCAAAGTTAGCATTTAGAATTAAGATAATACAGCAATTATTTATTACAAATGGGGAGATTTCTTTACACTAATGGTACCAAGGTACCTTGAGTGGCTGTTGCACGTCCAGGTAACACAACTAATTTGATTTATTTTAGTCAGGGGTAAGTGATAAACTAGTAGGAGTCTGATACCACCTAGGGAATCTAAGACAATAAGGTCCGATCTAAGGACAGGAAGATTAAGTGAAATTCCTTGGTTCAAGAATCCCCTCGCCGGCATGAAGGCACCTCCCCTGAGGTACAAACTTTAATGTTTTAATGACGATAATACGGCACGCAGGGAGAACATTCTGCGACCGTTAACTCAAAAATAAATTCGTCCTGTGCCGCGCATGCGTTAAATAACATAAATCAACTGGTGACACTACATATTGATTACTACCAGTAAGGATACCTAGATGTATTATTACAGCTTTAAGAAAAAAATACACCAAAAACTGATAGAATTATCTTTACATTCATGGGGAACACTAAACCCGTAGAGGTCATACAGTGCCTGGGGGAATGGACGGCGTTCAGACTCGATTCAAGGAAATGGAGTACAGGTCCAATTCCTCGCATCAAGAACCCTCACCAACATCAAGGAACTTCTTTCGATGGGAAACTGATGCGGAGGACCAAAATAATTGCCATGGCAAAATATTAAACATAGGCGACTTTAATCAGATGCTTATGCATGTTTTTCCCTTATATACTCTATACTAAAATGAAGTTATTGCTATACAGACACTGCACACGAGCATACCCGGACGATGCCAACTTCTGTCACATTACACTTAACAGAGAAGGAACTGTATCAGGGATAAATGTTAGTTACTCTACACCTTACCTTAACATACCTAGCGGGTACCTAGAAAGCTTAAGCTTAGGTTTAAAATTTAGTGATCAAAGCTTCACGGGCTGATTTGTTTATCTTGCAACTTTGGGCACTGAGGTTGAAAGAGCAGGTTAAATATGCAGGTTACATTCGAGTCGCCAAAAATTGAAGTTAAACAAATCAATCCTTGCTTCTCCTAATCAGGCTTTAAGAAAATTTCAAAGTGGTATCCCGTCTTACTAGGGTGTGGCTTGCCCTGATTTCTGGAGAGGTCAAGTCAAGCTACGAGGCTCCACGGCTGAGGACACTGGCACTTAAGGGGTCCTTTAGGGGTCACCAGACTAGTAATGTGACATGAAGTTCGCGCCGTCCATGGCTGCCTCCAGAAGGCTAGCCACGAACCTTCTCATTGTTGTCCACTAGAGACTGAATACCACACATTTGGAAGACTAACAGAGCACGTAACACCTCCCAAGTCGTCTTGCTCTTAAAAGCGGCTTCATGGTCACAGAAGGTCAGGTCAAGTGGGTCTTTTTTCTCTTTATCATGGGAGGCAGCGCCCAGAGCATTGTTCTCTCCTACTAGAGAGGCAGCTGCAGGCGTCGACTTGAGTCGAACGCTCACCCCGATGTGTCTGGTCCTCAAATTCCGGCATATTTGCGCGTGGCGTACACCATATCTAACACAGGTAGCGAAAGAGCGAGGCAGCGTAGCAGCCAACACGGGAGCCATCACTTAACTGACGCACTGAGACATTCGCTCGTGTGTGTTCATTGCCACAACTGCTATGACGTTTCGAGGTTCTAGCCATGTGATTGGCTGGTTGCCACAACTTCTATGGCGTCACGAAATTACAGCCACGTGATTGGCTAACTACGGAGGCGTGCCAGAATCTGGACCACCAGCAGAAAACGAGACTGTTTCAAAACCCGGGTTGGCCAGGAAAAATTAACCATATTATCATCTGTCCCAAGGATGAGAATTCCGTGTATAAAGGAACATGAACGAAGAAAGTATTGATCGTAACGTTTGGCCAGACTACTAAAGCATCCCCTGGCTCCCAGCCAGACAAAAGTGACCTGAGATCTTAATTTATTTGTCAAGGAAGAATCACCTGACGCGGGACTTAATTTTAATCATGTGATGACTCGCTCAGTGGCTTTAAGAGCAACTTAAGAATTGTGTAATACTTAGGTGCCTCTGACCCAACGTCAGAGACTGTGGTGGGGCACTTGGCTCTCTACACTGCTGGCATGCGTCTCATGAGAGTTTTATATTTTTACTTAATAACTATACATTATCTCGTTTTTTATGTGTTGGGGGGTAGGGGGAGGTTATCGTAAGAGCATCAAAGACCCCAATGGAAATAAGTCGTTTTATTTTTTTATATATCCTAGGTAATTTATATTATGTATGATAATTGTACTTATGTTTACCTGTACCTAAATTTACTTGCTAATCAATGTCCCTAGATCACTTACTACTAAGAATATAAGAGAGGCAGCAGTTTTGGCAGGCTCATAGTGTAATGTTGATGGAAGGAATAAACTTGTTTGTGGTCGGAGTATCAGTCTAGGTGGTGGTGTTATGACTGTAGCAGTGTTGGCATGATTCTTCCGACGTGTTCTGACTTATTTTCTTTTTGTCAGGATACCTGCGATCATGGCGTAATAGCCCATAAAATACGTGCTTAAGGAATAACTGGGAAAGTGGGGAGATGGATCTTCAACTTCCTAACAAATCGAGCACAAAGCGTAGTGGTCAACAGAGTTAAATCGGAGGCTGCCATAGTGAAGAGCTCTGTTCCACAAGGCACAGTACTCGCCCCCATCTTATTCCTTATCCTCATATCAGACATAGACAGAGATATATACCACAGCACCGTATCATCCTTCGCGGATGATACTAGGATCTGCATGAGGCTGTCATCTGCTGAGGACGCGGTTAACCTCCAATAAGATATAAACAAAGTTTTCCAGTGGGCAACGGTAAACAATATGATGTTCAATGAGGACAAATTCCAACTACTACGTTATGGAAAACTGGAGGAGATAATAACTAGAACAGAGTATACTACAGACTCTGGCCATACAATAGAGCGGAAAAACAATGTAAAGGACCTGGGAGTAGTAATGTCTCACTTTCAAGGATCACAACAGTGCCACGATCACAAGTGCAAAGAAAACGATAGGATGGATAATGAGAACGTTCAAAACGAGAGATGCCAAGCCAGTGATGATCCTTTTCAAATCACTTGTTCTCTCTAGGCTGGAATACTGCTGTACATTAACATCTCCATTCAAAGCAGGTGAAATTGCAGATCTAGAGAATGTACAGATATCCTTTACTGCACGTATAAGTTCTGTCAAGCACCTTAACTACTGGGAACGCTTGGAAGCACTTGACTTGTACTCGTTGGAACGCAGGAGGGAGAGATATATCATAATCTACACTTGGAAAATCCTGGAAGGAATGGTCCCAAATCTGCACACAGAAATCATTCCCTACTAAAGTAAAAGACTGGGCAGGCGATGCAAAATGCCCCCAATTAAAAGTAGGGGCGCCATTGGTACACTAAGGGAAAACACCATAAGTGTCCTGGGCCCAAGACTGTTCAACAGCCTCCCATCAAGCATTAGGGGAATTACCAATAAACCCCTGGCTGCCTTCAAGAGAGAGCGGGACAGATACCTAAAGTCAGTGCCGGATCAGCCGGGCTGTGGCTCGTACGTTGGACTGCGTGCGGCCAGCAGTAACAGCCTGGTTGATCAGGCCCTGATCCATCGGGAGGCTTGGTCAAGGACCGGGCCGCGGGGGCGTTGATCCCCGGAATAACCTCCAGGTAACCTGAGGCGCAGCCGATGACCAGCAGTGCGCTAGTGTCCGGTCGAGCCCTTGTTGACAGGTTGGGAAGCATCTTCATACCATAGCTTTATATGTGTGGCTCAGGTTCTCGCGTTTATCTGGCAGCGTTTTGGGTCATTATTACATTCATGAGAAGAGCGATAAACCCATAGGGGTTATACAGCGCCTGTTGAGGAATGGAAGGCTTTCAGGATCGATTCAAGGACCTGGAGCACAGGTCTACAATTCCTGAGGTCAAGAGCCCATCTAACCAGCATCAAGGACCCTCGTTTGAGGGGGGAGGGGAGTTAGGACATTTTAGTCTGTCGTAGAAAGCTTTATCTGCAGCCTAGGATAGCAACGTGGCTGGACAGGAGGGATAGGGGAGACATGATGACGTGTAAAATACTGAGGGGAATTGATAAGGTGGACAGGGAGGGACCCAGAACCAAGGGGACACACCTGGAAGTTAAATTATGGGGAAGCGCTAAACCCGTAGGGATTATACACGACTTGTGGGGGTTTAGGGAGGTATTCAGGCTTAATTCAGGGAACTGGAACACAGGTCCAATTCCCTAGATCAAGAGCCCCTCAATAGCGTCAAGGAACCTCCCTCGAAAGGACTGGAAGTTGAAACCTCACATGAACCATAGGAATGTTAGGAAGTATTTCTTCAGTCCCAAGAGTTCTCAGGGAGTGAAATAATCTGAAATGTATGGTAGTGGAGGCAGGAGTCATACATAGCTTTAAGAGGTGGTATGATAAGGCTCTTAGAGCAGGGAGTGAACCTAGTAGCAACTAGCGAAGAGGCGGGGCCAGGAGCTGTGAATAAACCCATGCAGCCACAAATAGGTATACAGAGCACATCTAGGTCCCTAAATCCACCCTCTCATTATTATTATAATAAAAAAGAAGCGCTAAGCCACAAGGACTATACAGCCTCCACCCTCTCATGTACTGTATATATCTCCATCTGTTCCTCATTTGTACCAGTAGATATCTTGATCCAAGAAACTGAGCTTGTTCTCTCATTCCTTGGGTTGAACCCTGTTCCCTCCCATTCCCCAAGCACAGCACGATCCTCATGGGTTCATGCGCTAAATTTCGACTGGACGATAATGATCGCATGATCACGTGAAGCATTTAATAATACGTTAGTGCAGTCTAAGTTTCATTCACCAACAGCTTTGATATAATTATAATCATGGGGAAGCGCTAAACCTGTAGGATTATACAGCGCATGTGGGGGGGGGGGGAATGGAAGGTATTCAGGCTCAGTTCAGGGAACCGGAACACAGATCCAATTCCCTAGATCAAGAGCCCCTCACCAACGTCAAGGAACTTCCCTTGAGGGATCAAAGGTTTGATAAAGCTCCTGATAGGCAAAATGTAGTCTGCCAAGAAGGGCTAAACCTATAAGGGTCATAGAGCACTTGAGGAATGGAAAGTAATCAAGTTCGATCCAAGGAAAAGGAGAGCAGGCCCAGTTCCATGGATCTAAAGCCCATCAGTGATGTCAAGGAGCCCCTTTCTCGAGGGGTGTGACAAGAAGCTACCTCTTACCCTACCTAGTGAACAATATCAAGATGACACGTCCAGAATTGCCTGATTATACAAGAATAGCCATTCGATCTTTCAGCTAATAGAAGTGGACAAACAAGAATGAATGCCAGGAATCGTAAACCTTCAGGTGCCATTCCTGGATCTGCAGGTAACCCCCAAAGTATAGCTGGAGGGTGTTTTGGGGGTCAATGCCCCTGCAGCATAGTCCATGACCAGGGCCTCGCGGTGGATTAGGGCCTGATCAACCAGGCTGTTACTGCTGACTGCATACAAACCAACATACAAACCACAGCCCTGTTGGTCAGATACTAAGTGCCTGTCCAGCTCCCTCTTGAAGACGGCTAGGGGTCTTTTGGTAATCCCCCTTATGTATGCTGGGAGACAGTTGAATAGTCTTGGGCCCTTGATAGTTGTGTTATCTCTTAGTGTATTCATGGCATCCCTGGTAATCTGTCACCAAAGGCCCTCCAGATGGTCACCCATTACCATTAATCAAAACTAAGGGCTAAGCCCACAAGATGGTCACCCCGAGTCTCATCCAAAGGTCAATGGACATGCCCCAAGATATTCTAATTTTCATTGAGTGGAGTGACATAACCATCACGACACTACCATCAGAAGCCGTGTTAGAACAGAACTTGTTTATTTAATCTGGGGAAAGGCACAACATTTGTAGGGGTCATACAACATTTGGGGATTTTTAGCATCATTATATTCATAAACCACCAAACCCATATGGGTCATATAGGGCTACAAGGCTGAGGGAAGCTATTAGCAAAATAAGTTGTCACAAATGAACTTATGAATTAACAAGGAAAGTCAAAGTTGTTATAGTAAGTGTCAAAAAAAACTTAAGTTTGTAGCAAAGGAGAAGGTTTTTTGAAAATGGAGAACATGACAAGCGAGAGCACACAGGTGCTGAAAAACAAAACTCTTTTATACATCAATGACAAATTTCAGAGGCACACATAGCACTAGTGAATGAGATATATTCAGGTTCGATTCAAGAAGGGGTGCACAAGTTTAGTTCCTAATTATTATATTATTATTATAATCAAAAAGAAGCGCTAAGCCACAAGGGCTATACAGCGCTGCAGGGTAGGGAAGGAAGCGAGGGTATTGGATGGCAGAAGGGAGGAGGGATGATCAGTAGGTTACAGAAAACAGCGGGGCAGGGGATAGTACGGGGGTAGAGGGTAGCAAGAGATTGAAGTAGAAAGGGCTGAAGGTATCAGAATTTGTGAAGTCAGTTGTTGTCAAAAAGTCAATGAGAGAGTCCGGATGAAAGGTGGGTCCATCAGCGAGAAGGGAAGGTAAAGAGAGAGCAGCGGAGCGAAGACGACGACGGAGGTAAATTCTGCG